GAAGAATTAAGTAAATTGTAAAGAAATCGTTGATAAAAAGTGAAACTTTGAATATAGAGAAGAATGATGGAATCAAGGTTCGTAGAATGAGTTCCTATGATTAATTTAAAATTCAGAAATTTAATCAGTTTCTTTTGAAGGTAAATTAACCTAATTTATCCTACGCACCTTCTTAGGTTAGGTAGGCGTATCTAATTGAAGTTAATTCCTACTTTCGTGGTAATAACGTTTAGTTAAACCTATTAAGAATTGTGTTAATTTAATATTTCTCGAAGGACTAAATCTACTTTCGTGACTGAAATCCTAAGTCTATCTCTTTAGGTTCTAATAATTAAGTTCTCCTTTCAGTTTATCCTTAATTATCTAATATTATGAAAGCAACGGATAATTGACATTCATAGATAAAATATAAAGAAGAAGATCAAAGTTGAAACAGATATAAAAAAAATTGAATAATGCATTAATCAAAAGGTTCTCAAGGGACTAAGCCCTGATTCCAGAAATAGGGAACTACTCACACATGATCATGACAATTTTCCCTAAAAAGGAAATAAAAAGAAAAGAAAAGATAAACAGACCTCGGAGGTAGAAAGCACAGGTGCAATCCTTCTCTTTAATCTCTAAAACAAAGTTGAAGCAAAAGATGCAGGTTTAGACCTTAACACGCTAATTTATAACCTAACCAGGGCAATAGGAGAAAAGGAAATTACATAAAAAGGGGAACAAGGAACGAAAATTAGGGTTCTCAATTTTTTTAGAGTGTCACGGGCGTGACTAGTGAGTCACAATTGTGATCTCCTCGGCCTTCAACGTATTGTTGAGACAGAGCGAATCACAGGCGTGATTGGTGAGTCACGACCGTGATTGACCCTATTTAAGAATCTTCACTTTTTGCGTGTGAGACGTGAATCACTAGTTACGACGTGATCTTCCTTACTTGTAGTCTTCATGAATTCCTTCACTCTTTATGATCCCTTATTGAGCTTAAACCCTCTAGAAACAACTAAAATATACCAAAAAATGCATTAAAGTAGAAAAGGAAGAATAACAAGCTATCCTAATCATATTTAAATACTAAAATGCATGAAAATACTTGTTTTTTAGGACTAAAATGTAGATTAAATTGCAAGTGATCAAACTTCAGTTGTTCATTTAGGGGTAAATTTGTTGTTTTATATTATATTAGGCTTGTATATTATGTTGTGTTTAAATATCATGAGGTACATTGATAAAAAAAATGGAGCGGTATGGTGAGGAGCTCATGATAGAATTTCCTTGGAATTTTAAGCCCTTTATTAGTTTATCTATGAATCACATGATTAGTGCTAATTTTCTATTAGCAGGGATGACATAACAGACCTGTTTGTTCAAGTTTTTTTTATATATTTTTTTATGTATGCTATTTTTAATAAAATAAGTAATTTTTTTACTTTTTTGTTGTGTCTGTTTAAACTACTTTTTCATAAGAAAAAAAATAGTTTTCTACTTTTTTTTTCAAGAAACAACTCCTATTTGCATCTTAATTCTTAAAAAACCACTTTTGAAAAAAATTTAATATTGACTTAATGCTACCATTTGTGCCTTAGATGTAACTGCAAAGCTGAAGAGAATGACTGGATCACTATGATATAATATTAATAATGAAAAATATGTGTCATGTTAGACTTATGGCTAGATGTTGTCTTTTTTTTTTTTTATAATGTTGAAAGTTGTTAATTTAATGTATCTTTATGTAATTATATTTGAACAAGAAACATACAAAACACATAAATATTTTTATCACTACAAGAAAAATCAGGATTATCTACGGATTTCCGTAGATAAACATGAAAATCCGTAGATAAATCTTAATTATCTATGGATTATGTACAGCCAAAAATTCGTAGGTAATATGGTTGTAGATAACGTTATCTACGGAAAGTTTATCCGTAGATAACCTTACATATGGACATATTTACGGATTACTCACGAAAGTTATTATCTACAAATTATATCTACGGATAAGATTTAAAAGACTTACCTACAGAATTATCTATGAGTGAGGTTATCTATGAAAATTTTCGTGGGAAAATTTTTGTTTAATTTTAATAAATTTATTAATGTAACAACCCTTATATTTGGCCTCTCAAGGATGTTATTTCACGACACTTCACTTTTTAACGTGTTTTGTCCTTACTGTACAACTTTTGGGAAACTTCCTAGAAGGTCATGCATTCCTATATTACTCCAAGTCAAGCACACTTATCTATGGAGTTCTGATGAGATAAGCTACCGAAAAGCAGATGCATGTTGTTAGTATAAGTAGTACAAATTAATTTATTTAAGTCATCCTCAACTATATAATCTTATACTTATACTATCTTTGGATCTCTCTCATTTCAGTATGTCCGGACCGCTATAAAAATATAAAAATATATATAATAATTATATTACCAATAATAATTATATTATATTTAATTAATCTTTATTTATATATATACTTACTTTTATAATTAACAATATACTTATTTCTATTTAAAATTAATATTATGATACAATTTAAATTATTTATTATAAATTTAAAATTTTAAATAATAATTTATATA